TTAGGATCGTCACGGGTTTGTACTTACGGCGTCCCGGGGATGAAGTCCAGGGTCCGGCCGGCTGAGCGGAGCCCCATCCCCGGCTCGGGCAGGCGGGCAGACGCGGGGCAAGTGGCTCTCTGAATGACCGGAGGCGGCTGTGGGCACGTGGGAACGAGGCTCCGGTCCGCTAGGAGACGGCGAGCCGAGCCGCCTACTTCCGTGAAACGGACTCTGTCCAGCCAGTGTCACGGGCGCAGGTCGCGGGCGGTGATTTCCTAACTGGAGGAGAAAGTTTTCCCGGGGCAGCCACGGGGCCAGCGGCTGAGCTTGGCACTTGGCAACAGCCCTGCGGGAGGGGACAGGCCGGGCCCGGGAGCGGCGTGAGGACGGGCCCAGCCTCCCCGAGAGCGCCGGGCGCCCGCGCGTGGGCAGGACGCGGGCTGGTCCATGCCGCCTCGCCTCGTGCCCTCCCCAGCCTGGCACGCGCGTGTGCGCCCGCACGCTACCCGGGGAGTTTGGGTGAGTTGTGCTTCGGCTTCCCAATTTCCGCAAGCCCACCCAGTTTGAGAAAACAGGTATTTCTTTTTTAATCATTTTGATAAAAAGAAAATACGTTTCCTCAATTTCTGGAAACGCCAAGATCCCTCAGGCGAGGAACTGCTGCTCCTGTGGGTAACGGGTGAGGAGAGGGGAGTGTGTGCGGGAACCCCGCGGCCGGGAGGGCCCACGGGCCGGGGCAGCCCTGGGGACTCGCGCCTGCAGTTCCGAGCGCCCGAGGGGAGCAGAGTCGCGCTGAGAACCAGAGCGTTTCCTCTGGACTCATCCAAGGACCCAGGTCTCTGCATTTGTCACGTAGTGGCCGCCTGGCCTCGTCCTTCCCAGAAGCCTCAAAAACGCGGAGCTGAAGGCGTCGCCTTCACAGAGCGACGCGCCCACCCCGGGGCTCGCTGGGGCGCGGCCTGAGGTGCAGGTGCAGGCCGTAGGCTGTCGTGGTGTCCTGGGGCGCGGCCCCCGCGCGGTGTTCGGCTTCTGGTCTTTCCTCTCAAGATGCTCCACTTTTCATTCCTTCCCAGCACTATTTAGGGTGAAAGGGTGACCTCTTCGGTTATAGATTCCCCTCAAAATACATCCAGAGTTTATAACAAAGCCACGGCCGGGGGCTCGTGAGGTCAAGCAGCAGGGCGAGCGGGGCAGGGGCCTGGCGGGGGGACAGCTGGGAGCCAAGAGCCGGCCCTGAGCCCCTCAAAGAAGGCGGCCTCCCTGGGTGCGGCGCCCCTGGGGATGCAGCGCCTGCCCCGACAGCCACGGGGGTCTCCCTGGGGAGAGGCGCCGCGGGGCTGGTGGGGACAGGCGAGCGGCAGTCATGGCGGACTTGGACCTGCGAGGGAGCCGTTTGCCTCGAGGCGGCGGCTCCATTTCCAGGGCTCAGTGGCCGCCGGCGGGAGCAGCAAAGCAGAAGCCGGGAGAAAGCCGAGCCCGAGAGAGCGCGGGCGGGACGGGGCGCCCTGTGGAAATGGCGCCTGGGGCGTGAACTGGGGACTTAGGGGGAGAAATGGAACAGGGCACCCCACGGAAGAGGGTCAGACACAGCCAGCCGAGCCTGGGGTCGGGGGGGAGCAACCTCAGAATCGAGACGAGAGTGGGGCTCTGAGCACGCGCCCGGCCGGGGGGAGAGGGCGCTCGGGCAGGGGGCCAGGCGAGAGCTCGGCCTCGGAGCAGGAGACGCCGCCGGGGCTGAAGAACAGACGCGCGGCTGTTGCCTGAGCCCTGGGTGTGGACGGCTCCGGGTGGGGCCCCGTCTCCCCAGGCAGGAGGGCGGGAAGGCGGCCGAGGGGGCCGCCGCGGGGTTCATCACCGAGCTTGGCCGCTGCCCCGTGGACGGCCAGTTCCGGACACAGAGGCCGAGGGAGCAGTAAAGGCCGGTGCCGCCCGCCGGGGCTGGTGTCGGCTGCCAGGCCGAGCGGGGGAGGGGAGAAGGCCGGGCCCGCGTCATCCACCCTGGCGGCCCCGGCACCCGTTCTGCGGCTGGTGTGCCAACGGATTTCACTCCCTGCGGGAGCTGGGCCCAGGAGTCTAATCCCCTCCCACGAGCCTCTGCCCTCGCCGTCCTCTCTCCTCTCCCCGATCAGCCTCACACCCTCCCCAGCCCGCCCCACCCGCCTCCCACGCCCTGCCCTGGGGCTGCGCCTCCTCCCTCATGCCTTCCCCAGGACACACCTGCTGGGAGGTCCCTGAGCTGAGGTGGGGGGTGGTCTCAGGGCAGGTGTTGGGGAGCGCATCACACCACACACAGCCCCCCATTTCCTCAGCCTCTCCAGACAGGCGCCTGGCACAGGAGGGCTGCTGGGCAGGGCCCGCCCCAAGCTCTCCCTCACTGGGGCTGCAGTGACAGCAGCTGTCAGGACGGGGCTGCCCGGGGGCCCAGTGCCCTGAGCTGGGCTGCACCTCCCTGCACTGCTGGAGGGCAGCAGCCCTGCTGGAGGAGGCCACCTGGTGGTCTTCCTGGGTGGGGGGTCCTCCCAGCACCCCCGTCCCCCACCCCCAGGATGGGCCTGCTCGGCCAACAAGGGCGAGGTTATGCACACCGTGGGCTCAGGCCTCCAGCCCCTGGCCAGTGTGCCGCGGGCAGCATGGCCTGGGTGCAGGGACCCCACCACCCCTCCCACCCCAGCAGCCAAGTGCAGCTTCTTCTGGCTGCCGTCGCCTCCACCCCAGTGCAGTGGTTGCTGCGCAGGCCACCCCGACAGCCCGTCCTCAGGCCCACCTGCGGCCTCTCAGCCACCAGCGCGCGGCTGGCCGGAGACCGGCTTGATGTCCTGTAAGAAATCTCCAAAAATACCAGGCAAACACCCAGCAGGCTGTCAGCGAGAGGGGACGGGGGCTTGGCCGAGCTGGCGGGAGCTGCTGGGGTTGGGATGGGATTGGAGGGCGATGGGATTAAGGGTGGGGCTGGGCCTGGGGTTGCCGCGCTGAGGGGCCGGGCTCGCCTGCCCTGCTTCTTCAGGGGGTGTTTCCTGGAGCATCCCTCAGCTCTGCTGTTACCGGCAGCCACAGCCAGAGGAGCCGGCCTGGGGAGGTGCCCTCTGAGCGGAGGTAAGAGCCCAGCGCAGGCACACGCCGGGCGGAGCTGCCGGGCTCTGAGCCCAGCCAGGGGGCTGGAGCAAGCTGGAGTGGGCAGGGGTGCGGCCAGCAGGCGAGGGGGCCACGTGGCACCCTTAGGGCACCTGAAGAGCTCTCCCGGGAGTGGGTGGGCGTCCTGGGGCCTGAGGAGGGGAGCGCGAGACGGGCGTCTGCGGGGTGGAGCGCGGGGAGTCGGGAGTGTGGGAGAGGTCAACAGCGGCTCGGGGGCCGCACGGCCTGGCAGTGAGGGGGTGTGTAGCTGCGCTGCCCTCGTCATGTTCCGCCACGAAGAATACTTTGCTACTAACTTGTGACACTGAATGGTTATCAGCTAAGGAAATTATTTTTCTTAGTGTTTTACCAATAAAGAATTTCAGATCCTGAACTGACGTTGCTCCGCATCAGATGCTTTTCTCGGCCCTGCAAGGCGCCATTTCTCACATCCTTTGTTAATCTTCTCAGTCGAGGCCTCAGAACTCCTGAGGCCGCGTCACCCCTGCCCACGGGACCCGCCGGCCCTGCTGTGGTGTTTCTCTGGCCTGTCGCCGCGGTGGATGGGATCACGGGTCACGTCTCTAGTGCTTCCCACCTCGCTTAGAACTCAAGGTGCCTACGGCTTAGTCTTACCTTGGTCTTTTCTGGTTTTGATGCAGAGACAAGCAGCTTCTCAGCGTTATGTATTCTGGAAGCCTCTCCGTCAGCAGAGGGGGTGGTTCTCCAAAGCCCATCTCCGTTGGCCTGTGACGGGCGTGGGGCTCCGATCCTCTCCCGGGGGTTAAACCTCTGAGTTTTGTTGGATGTGCTTTTGGATATTTTTCTCTTTAAGTTGTTCTCTTGCATAGTTTTCTCTTGAACTTGCTCCCTTATGTTTGGAAAACGTTGATGTCCAGTGGTACATACATTCTCTTTTTGAGATGTAAAAAAAGCGCTGCTGTGCGGCCAGCGGCGTGCCCGGTGTCGCTCACCGTGCCCGTCTCTCTTCTCTCGAGATCGGGGCTGCTGCTTCCACCGGGCTCTTCAGAGAACGTTCCGGCCATCGTCCGTCTGCTCTGTGTGTTTCCTGTCGCTGCTCGCATCTGTGTTCGCTGCTATTCCAGCCTTCTCGTCCCCTCCCGCCTTCCCGCTTGCTCGCTGGGTTCAGGTGGTGCGAATTCAGCCGCGCGTCCTTTCCGTGGGATATAATGACTGCGCCCACCAGGCTTCTTCTCACGCTTTCACCCCAGGCTCTACTTCACATGACCTCGCGAAGCCTGTGGCAACCACCCTGGTCTGCAGCGTGGCCGCATGAGCTGTACTGATGGCTGTGCCAGGTGCCCAGAGAACCAGCCTTGTTCCAGAAGCCGCGCCATGCTCACAGCCTCTCTGCCCTGGCTTCCAACGGCCATTGCTTTGCTTCTGTTTCCCTCTAAAGCAACAGAGGAGTGGAATAAGTTGTCTTTTAAATCTGGATGATTTTGCTCTACATTATGTTCACAGAATTATTCCCGTATTTAAAATTTTTGTTTATCTTCATTGCTGTATAGCTTTCCACCGAATGAGCCTACCACAGTGTCATTTAACCATTCTGCCCTTGGTGGGCATTTGGGGTATTTCCAGGTTTCGGTCACTCGAAGCTCTGTTGCGGCACCGAGGGCACAGCCCCCGCGGCTGCTCACACGGGCAGAGGTGGCCTACCAGCCCGGGTTGGCCAGCTTGTTTCCCGAAGCGACGGTCATGATTCCCGCTCCCTCCGCGAGGGCGTGGGGCTCTGGTCGCCCACTCCTGCCCCTTCACATCGGCTCTCCCCGCGGCAGAGCGTCGCCCAGTGCGCCCTTGTATCCCGCCGTGACGTCGTAGCTGCAGTTTCCTGGCAGTGTTTCTAGCATTAATTTTCAACGTTTCTATCTTCCGCCTTTTAGGTTTTGCTTCCAGCGCTACTATTTACCCGTCGATTCTGCATCCATCCTGGGAGGATCCAAGACCTGCAGGAAAGTCTGCGGCTCCAGCCGAGACCCAGGCAGCCCCCCGGCACCGCTGCGGCCTGGAGCGGAGCCCCCGGGGTCAGCAGCCCGAGAGAAGGGGCGTCTCTGCAGGAAAGGCCGCTGGTGATTCCCGGTGCCTCAGACGCACCCACACTCACATCGTGTGAAAGGCAGCACACCCAAGACCCTGCGCCTGGGCACAGCTCCCCAGCCAGCGCCGGCTGCTCCCCGATGGCAGCCACGAAGCCCAAGGCCGGCTGCGCCCAGAACCCCGGCTGCCGCATAATGACCTTCCACCCGACCCCGGAGGAGTTCAAGGACTTCGACAGGTACATCGCGCACATGGAGTCGCGCGGCGCGCACCGCGCGGGCCTGGCCAGGGTCGTCCCGCCCAAGGGGTGGCAGGCCCGGCAGACCTACGCGGACATCGACGACATCCTCATCGCGGCGCCGCTGCAGCAGGTGGTGTCGGGCCGGGCGGGCGTGTTCACCCAGTACCACCGGCGGCGGCCGGCCATGACGGTGGGCGAGTTCCGGCGCCTGGCCGAGAGCGCGCGCTACCGCCCGCCGCCGCACCCGGACGCCGCGGCCCTGGAGCGCGAGTACTGGCGCGCGCGGCCCTACGCGCCGCCCCTCTACGGCGCCGACGTCAGCGGCTCGCTGTTCGACGGGCACGCGCCGCAGTGGGACCTGGGGCGCCTGGGCACCGTGCAGGACCTGCTGGAGCAGGAGAGCGGCGTGGTGATCGAGGGCGTGAACACGCCCTACCTGTACTTCGGCATGTGGAAGGCCACGTTCGCCTGGCACACGGAGGACATGGACCTGTACAGCATCAACTACCTGCACCTGGGCGCGCCCAAGACGTGGTACGCGGTGCCCCCCGAGCACGGGCGGCGCCTGGAGCGCCTGGCGCGCGAGCTCTTCCCGGGCAGCGCGCGCGGCTGCGGCGCCTTCCTGCGGCACAAGGTGGCCCTGATGTCGCCCACGGTGCTCCGGGACAACGGCATCCCGTGCGGCCGCGCCACGCAGCGCGCGGGCGAGTTCATGGTGACCTTCCCCTTCGGCTACCACGCGGGCTTCAACCACGGCTTCAACTGCGCGGAGGCCATCAACTTCGCCACGCCGCGCTGGGTGGACTACGGCAAGGCGGCGGCGCAGTGCAGCTGCGGGGAGGCGCGCGTCAGCTTCCCCATGGACGCCTTCGTGCGCGTGCTGCAGCCCGAGCGCTACGAGCGGTGGAAGCGCGGCCTGGACCAGGCGGCGCCGGACCACGCGGGGCTGCCCGGCCCGGGGGCCGCGGGGCTGAGCGCCTGGCGGGCGGCGCGGGGGCCGCGGGCGGCGGGGCAAGGCCCGAGGCACCTGCCCCCGCGGCGGGCCCCGCGCGCCCCGCAGCCCGGCCCCGCGCTGGGCGGCCCGGACCCCCGAGCCCCGGCGCGCCCCGCGGCTTCGGGCTGGTGCGCGGGGCCGTCGGGGGCGCGCTCGGAGGGGGCCGCCCCGGAGCCCGCGCCCCCCGGGCCGGCCCCCGCGCCGCCGCCCGCCGCGCCTGTGCGCCCCGGCCCCGGCCGGGCAGGGGGCGGCCGCCGGCCCCGCGAGCAGGACGCTCAGGAGCCCCCGGTGCGCGCGCGGGCCAAGAGGCGCCTGGGGGGGGGCGCTGCCGTCCACCTCGAGGCCCAGGCCCTGCCTGCGGAGGGCGCCCCCGGGGACGGCCCCGCCGCGCTGCCCCCTGCGCCCCAGCACGCCGCGGGGGCCTCCGGGGGTCGCTGTGCGCCCGCCCCCTAAGCCGGGGGCGCCCGTGTGCCGGAGCCTGGGCGTGGCGCCACCTCAGCGCCCTCGGGTGCCGCCCGCCGGGTGCCGCCGCGTGACCTTCCTCCGCGCCAGCGCCTGAAGCCCGCGGGGCCACCCGCGGACCCGGCCTGTGCGCCCCCCCTTCCCCGAAACCAGGCGCGGACTCTCGGGCCCGGGGCGGGACAGCGGCTGCGGGGGTCTGAGCTGGGGCCCAGGGCGGGCCGCGCGGGCATTAAAGTCCTGCCCCGACTCGGCTGCTCGTGGTGTCCTCCGCCGGCGGGGCGGGTGTTCCTGGCGGGTCAGCCCGGGGGGCGTCGGCTGGGGCCGAGCGGGCGCGGCGGGGACGCGGGCGCAGCGCGTGTCCCCCTGGGCCGAGGCCCGGGCCGCTCCCGGGGCAGCGCCGCCTGCGGGGGGAGGGTGTGGCGCGGGGCGGGGGGCCCGGGAGGGAGGGGGTGTCGGGGTGGGCACAGGGAGGAAGACGCAGAGCGCCGGGTCCAGGGGGCGCGGCCTCGCCCAGGACGGGTCCAGCGTCCAGCGCGGCATGAAGGGTTCAGAGCGCGCCCCCGCCCGGCCCCCTGCAACCTCCAGCGCCCCCGGGGCGCGTGGGAGCTGCAGAAAGGAGCCCGGTGGGCGCGGAGGAAGGAGGAGGTTGGCGCCCCTGCTGCGGGTCAGCTCCGGTCTGGGGGGTCGGAGGTGACCCCCCGACTGGCTCAGGACGTCTCACCGGGGCTCCTCGTGCCAGGGCGCGCCGGCTGATGTCCCCGGACACCCAGCGCGGCCGCTGCTCCCCGGCTGCTCGCCGTCGAGGGCGCACGAGGACCCAGCTGCAGGCCGGGGTGTCGGCCCATCACGCACAGCCACATGCAGCTCAGGCAGCGCCTCGGGGCCCGGCCGGGGCCTCCCCAGGCCCCGGGCTCTGACAAGTCCCCAGCTCGGTTAGTGGTTTTTACATGTTAAGAAACTGGGCTGTGAACACCCGCCCCGTGGCTGGGGCATCGGGTTTCTAGCATCTTTTTGGAGCCTAGATCCCTGGGTCCTGCTGTCGGGCCTTTCAAGCTACACTCGTTGCCGCCCTTCCTGGCTTTTAGTCACAACTTACTATATTTAGTCATCTTGGGCCTTTTAGGAACAGCCTTGGGGCTCCGAGGTTGCACAGACAGCGCAGAGGCCTCCACCTCCAGCTCGGCCCCGGGCGCCCCAGCCTAACGCAGCAGCGCGGGGGCTGCCCGCCCCTCACGCGCCCACCCCCTGCGGGGCGCCTGTCTGTCCTGACCTGAGCTGCACAGGGTCACAAGGCAGCCATGTTGTTTATGTGCCCCCCACCCTCTCCCCTTCCCATCCGCAGGGCCCTGGGGGTGTTGACTTGCTCCACTGTGTTTCCTAAGAGTTTTATGTCAATTGGATTATCAGCTGCGCAGGCCGGGAGGTGTCTGCCTGTTTCTGCCCCGCTACCCCCCACCCCAGGGTGACCCCTCCTTAGTCTTCACCACCCTCACTCTGTTCCAGGACCCCCCCCCCCCCCCCGCAGTCGCCAGGCCATGCTGTGTCCCCAGGCCTCGCGGGGCCCGCCGTGGCCCTGGCCATTTCTGAGACACGCCTTGTTTTTATGTTTATTCATGGAAAGGCTCAGCTTTAACCGGAGAAAACATTAGTTCTAGGCCTCACGACAGAAAACATCTAATTCGGAAAACGTCTAGTTCAGAGGAAGCAGGAACCAACCCCACGTGCAGGTAACAGGAAAAATAATACCTAAACCTGAGCCCCTGGCCGAGGCCAAGCACTGGCTCCTGCTGGGCCCTGGCGCTGACCGGCCCGAGAGGACAGGCCGCGGGGGTGGGGGCCCTCCCGGGTCGGGTCGCTCGCTGGTTCCACCCCAGGAAGGCCAGGGCGCCCCGCAGCCCAGTCTCCAGGCTACAAGGGCGACTTGGAGGAGGCGGCTTTTCTCTTGTTTGTCAGACCCCAGCGGGGAGATGCCGGCTCTCCCGCTCTGACAAGATGTTTCTGCAGAAATGCCGGCTTGGGGAGCACCAGCCGCCGGCCCTGAGCGGAGGCCGCTCTGCTGAAGCCGTGGCTCTCGCGCTGACGAGTCTCCCGGGCTTGTGCGTTTTCTGCAGGAGCATTACAGCGTCGGGGCCACGGGTGTCCCGTCATACCCAGGCGGAGGCTGCAGCAGGACCCGGGACTCCATGTGGACCGAACCCATCTGTCAGGTTCTTCACGGACCCGCCCCCGCCAGGCAGCCATCTCCCTGCCCGCCCAGGCCACCCTCTTTCGGCGGGGACTCTGCAGTGGGTTGGGAGTTTTCTGCAGGTTTATCCGTCGCTTCTGTCCGAGGTGTTCCACGCAATCATGTTATTGGCGTGAACTCCACGCACGTCTGTCCTTCCCATGCCGCGCTCAGCTTTCGTTGCTCCCGCGGCCGAGCGTGGGCCCCTGGGAGGTCCCGTGGCCCTGGACGGGCTGGGGATGCTGCTGCCGCCCCGGCTTCCCTGTCCTTGATGTCAGGCGCCATTTTCTTCTCCCCGCACCCCCGCCTCTCTGCCTGGGGCCATTTCCCCTTTACCCCGCTCCCAGGTCCTCAGTTTTCTCTCGAGCAGATCGGATTTCTGCATATTTCTCTCCTTTTGTGCATAGTCATTTTCTCTTTTGCTTATTGATCATTCCGTCATTTTTATCTTTCCCTTTTTGGCATAAGACTTGTTTTTGTTTTTACTAAATGTTCGAGCTGAACATAAAATTCAACACACCTGAGCTGTCACACGGCTGGTGTAGACACGGCGCGGATAGTCGTTTTCAGACACCTGCAGTCAGGACCCTGGGCCCGGGATTTCCAGTGTTATCCCGCCGTGGTCGAGACAGCGCTTCGCGTGCGGAGTCCACGGACCCCTCGCTGACTCGTGCTCGTCCACGGCTAACGAGGTATCAAACAGTGTAGCCGCAGCGAGCAGCCTTTCCATGTGCCACGCGGCGGCCGCGGCGCTGGGCTGGGAGTGGCCAAGGGTGTGGCCCCAACTGCACAGCGCTGCCACCTCTGTGCCCTGGGCCTCCGGTGCTCCGGGGCACTGCCCTGTGGTTCGAGAAGGTCCACGAGACCCGGGAGGCCCCGGGTGCGTGTTGGACCTGGCGAGCCCGTGGCCGGCGCACACGGTGGCCCTGGGAGGACTCTGGACAGGCCCTCCCTGGGCACCCACACGCCCTTCTTCGGCTTCCTCGCGTTTTGTGTCCACACCGCCGGCCAGGCGCCTCCTGCTCACGATCCACACGCTCTGGCCCTCCCACTGCTTTACGTTCTCCCCTCATTGCTCTGCCTTGAGATTGAGATTAGCTGCGATCAAACAAGGGCGCGCAGGCCGGGTGCCCAGGCAGGCGGCTGTCAGGGGACGAGACTTGATGGGATTTACGGCTCCGGACCTCGCCGTATAAAGCCGGAAGCATCGGGCTGCGGGCTGCATTTGGAGGCTGGCAGCCGAGGGGGCGAAATCCCGCTGGCCCCTGCGGGACCTTCTGGAATCACAGTCTGGACGGAAGGTAGGTCGCTCTGCCTGGGTGTGTGGCGGTCGTTCCCTTCCCCTCCCCTGGACGCCGCGCCCTCAGGTTGGTGTCTGCGATCAGAAACATGCACTGGGACGGCATCTCCTCAGTTTAAAAAGTTTTTATTTTCAGTGTGTTCTCACATCTCCAAGATGAGGTCTTTCTCCTTCATATTTTGAGTTGATAAAGACTGCGAAGATATTCTGGGGGAACCCAGCGTTGGAGGGCTGGGAAGCAGGGGGTCCCTGGAAGGGACGTGGAAGATGGATGTTCGTCAGGGGTTCGGAGCACTGGGCTGGGGCGGGGCCCCGAGGCCTGGCTGGGGCACAGAAAGTTTCACTTGGAAGTGGGATCCTCGCAGTGAATCAGCTTTCTGGGTCCTGGTGGGGCATCATTTAGAATCAAGATTTTAGCTTATCAGAAGACAAGACTTTTGCTTTTTCCTTTAAAGCAGGAAAGAGATGGAGACAGTGCCGTCCCGCATCAGGAAGCAACCGAGCCCGGGGAAGGTAGCATTTCCCTCCGGAGCCGACACACATGTTCCCGCGTGTCGTTTTTACATGTGTTTGCATCGGGGCCTCGGAGTCCCGTTATTAAAGGGATTGGGATCGTTTTGCTAATCCATTTTATAATCATAACTGGTGCATAGAGTTCTGTGGCTCTCTTTATGCTAATCTGTCTCTTACTGCGAATGAATGATGAGCGTTTAACTGGATTGACTCAAATGTTCCCATTCAGGGAAACGCTCGCTGGACAGGAGTGCGTCCTGGCCGGTCCTTTTCCGGCCGGCTTGCTGCTCGGGCAGGAACGCTTTCTACGACGGGAATTCTGTTCTCTTTTTGAACATCTAAAATAATAAAATAGAAGTTGCGTTATTTCAAGTATTCCTGCCTGGGATACGATGGCCGCTGTCCCAGCTCCTCTCTGCAGGCGCCACAGCACTGCCAGGTTATTCCGTTGTCTCTTACTGAGGAAACACTGATCTGCAACCTGCATGGTCTAGGGATGCGGCCAGGGCCTCTTGAGACGTCCATGCCACCTCGGGTGGGGTCCCGCAGCCACTGTCACAATCCAATCAATCCCCTGCCTCATTCCCCACCCCCGCCCCCCGCCCCGTCCACACCCGGGGCCTCCGCCCCTGTCAGAAGCACGGCCGCATTTGGTTCTGTCTGTCCCTTTGCTCTGTATCTTTCCTTCCCGCTCTGAGTGAGATCTTGCCGCGTTTCTCTCTCTGACTTATTCTGTGCAGCCTCCCCGGGGGTTCGTGCACAGGCCGGCAGTGGGGTCGGTCTCTCCGCAAGCTGAGCGTGCCCCTCCGTTCACAAGACACCCGTCACCGTGCATCTCCCGCCTGCAATGCTGTGTCGGGGCGCTGCAGCCCATGCCGGGCGCGCACTTCTTCAAATTTGTGTTTCCATTTCTTCATGGAAATACCGAGAAATTGCTGGATCTTAAGGCAGCTCCATATTTAAATTTTTTGAGGAATATCCATGTTCGCCACAGTAGCTCCACCGATTTACATCCTGGCCAACAACACTGCTAGATTATTTAAAACCATCCTTGCAATACCATACTTGGTGCACCTTTTAAATGCCTGCTTCATGAAGGATTTGTTAAAATTGTTTTTATGATTTTTGCAGCTTCATCCCTAGATAAAGTTGGTCTATTGAGTTATTTTCTAGCACTGCCCCCTTTCAGGCTTTGCCTTCAAGGTTCTATCTGTAGCTTCATAAAATAAATGGATTATCATGCCCTCGAAAAGTTCGTTTGAGGTAAGATGTCGGGTCGTCACTGCTCTCCTCCTTCGGGGCTATGCCCAGAGCGGGGGCTGCCAGACCCCACAGTCTCCCTCTGAGCATCCAGGACCCCTCACACTATTTTCCATGCACAGTGGCGCCAACTTACACCCCCTCAGCCAACAGTGTTCTGCTTGGCCTTAAACTCTAATTTTGTTTGTTTGTTTTGTTTATACAAGCACTGGGCACAGTCAGAAGCGCGGGAGGGTGAGAGGATTCACCAGAGCCAGAGCGGGGAGCAGAGCAGGCAGAAGGACCGAAGGACACTGCTGAGGGGAGCAGCGGGCGGCAGGAGAGGTCTGTGCGCCATGTGGGACCCTCCGCCGGTGGCTGGGGAGCAGCTGGGGATCGAACCGGCGCTGCAGAGGCCGCGGGCAGCTTCGCAACCCAGCGCTCAACCCTGGGCCCCCGAGGAGGCCCCTTAAACTCTAATTTTGAAAGGCACATGGCCAGATAGAGTTGCCTCGAAGTCGCTTGTTCTAAAGAGTCTGTCTTCATCTCCCTGTAGCTCTTCCCTCTCCCGACCTTCTGGCATAGCAGGGCCAGGAGCGCCCAAGGCCCTCCGGGAGGCTCCCACTGCGGCAGGAGCCTCCACCCCAGCGGCACCTTGAAGCCATGAGGCCCGAGGCACAAGGTGCACTAGTGCGATCATGACCTTCCGGCCGACCCCAGAGGAGCTGAAGGACTTCGCCAGGTACATCGCCTACATGGAGCCGCGCGGCTCCCACCGTGCCGGCCTGGACAGGATCACCCCGCCCAAGGGGCGGAAGGCCAGGCAGACCTACGCGGACATCGACGACATCCTCATCACCTCGCCCCTGCAGCAGACCAAGAGGCACCTGTCGCAGGGCAAAGGGGGCGCAGCTGTCTACCCCGAGGCCCAGCTCCTGCCTGCGGAAGGCGCCTCCAGGGACAGCCCCGCCGAGCTGCCCCCTGGGCCCCAGCACGCTGCGGAGGCTTCTGGGTGTCGCTGTGCCCCTGATCTTCAACCCTTGGGGCCCCCCTTGGATCCGGAGGAGCCCATGCACCCTGGCCCCTGCCTGCTTTCCCTGGACAGCATCACGGTGGATCTCCCCGACTTGGCGCCCGAGGTGGTGCCCCGCATCGAGTGGCTGCACAGCAATGCTCCCTGGGTGGCCGTTCAGGGCTTCAAGACCCGCCGGCCCCTGGCTGAGACCATGTGGGGGGGTCCCATGTGGGGGGACCACTCTTACTGCTGCAGAGAGCCTGCCCCCCCCAGCTCCTTTTGCACCCCTGACGGTGGCCCTGGCCTACATCTAGGGTCAGCTGCCCTTCTTGGCCATGAAGTCACCCCTGCGGATGGGCTCCCCTCTGGGCCCCAGACACAGACTTTGCTGAATGATGTTCATTGTTCCCCAAGCCGGGAACCCAGACGCGTCACCACCTAGAACGACAGTCTCCCGGGCTTCAGGCGCTTCCGCTTGGGGCAAGACATGGGTCCATGCCCCGGCCCTCCTCAGGGGCCTTGGGGTCTCAGCCCGGCTCAGCTGACCCGGGCCCCGCCACCTGCCCCCGTGGGCCCGCTCTGTGGAGGGAGGCCTGGCCAGCGGCTCACTCAGGCACGCGCGCAAGTTCGTATTGTGCGTGGAACTCGTCCCCGCCAGGAAGCAAGGTGAGGCGACGCCGCTAGAGAACAGGAAACAGGCCCCAAATGGCGTCTCTGATGTGAAGCCCCACGTCACGCCGAGACGCGAGCGAATCCGGAAATGAATCAGTGCGTCTCCGCTCCGGCCCCTCCCAGCACACGGCCTCGCGCTCCCACCTGCTGTGGCCTCCGTGGCCGCCTCTTCCGGGCAGTGCTCCCTGGCGCAGCCCCTGCAGCCTCCAGGCTCGAGACTCCCAACGCGTTGAATAAAGTCAATAACTTTAAAAAATGACTGTCGAGTTTTGCTTTCTAACATACCCTTAAAATACATCTATAAAATCGTAATTAGATGAAAGACATATATCCGGCTTACATCCCGGTTCTTGCATACATGAATAAAGAAGTCTTTAAAACATTTAAAAAAACAAAAGACATGTATCTGAAGTGACTCAGAAAAAAGGGAGACGGCGCCCAGCTCGGCCCCCTCCCCGGGGACACTGCGTGGCCAGCACCCAGCCTGGAGGCGGGAATCCTCTGTATGGGAGGAGCTGAGCTGCCAAAGCCTCACCTCGAGGCTGAGCATGGTAACGGCCTTTTGCCACGTCACAGAGGGGACTTCTGGAGCCTCCAGGTCGCTCAGTGGGAGGCTGGTCCACAGAGGAGCCCCCGGCTGGCGGGTCCATCCCCCAATGCCAAGAAACTACTCACAGATCTAGCAACGACTGCTCACGTCAGCAGCATCCCAGGGGGCACGATGCTCTTCTGGGGAAAGTCACGGGCCCCAGCTGATCGCAGGAGAGGCGCCGAGGCGCGTCTCTGCACGAGAAGCACAGCCGCCGGAAAGACGTCTCTTCAAAAATGACAAGAACCAGGGGGTTGCCCTGGGGGCTGAGGGACGCCTGTAAAGAGCAGATGCTCGGCCATCCCCGGGAAGGCGCCCGGCTCTGCAGGAAGCAGCGCTGGGAGAGAAACTCGCAGTGGAGGAAACGCCTCCTGGACGCGGGTGGAAAAGGATCACATGAAACCTAAGACACTCTTCACCGCGCGGGCAGAATGACACAGCCAAGTGGGGTTTGCTGCAGGAAGGTAACGTGGTTCACAGTATGGAAATCGACCTTTCATTATGGAAAGTTTCAACAATATGCAAAAATAAAACAGTATAATAAAAAATGCTTGGAAACCTAATAAAATCACTAAAATATGGAAATCAGGTGGCAGGACTTATTCTATCAAGGGTCACAGGGTCGCCACATTCTGAGGTTTGTTTTTTTTTAAGATTTATTTCATTTGCACAAGAACCGGGGTACAGGCCAGATGCTTGGGAGGGTGAGAGGGTTCACCAGAGACAGAGCGGGGAGCAGAACAGGCAGACCGACGAATGGTGAAGTCCACTGCTGAGGGGAGCAGCGGGGAGCCAGGAGAGGTCTGCTGCGCCCTGTGGGTTGCTCCGAGGCCGGCGGGGATCCATCTGGTGCTGCAGAGGCTGCGGACAGCTTCCAGCGCTGCGCTCAACCGCCTGCGCCGCCAGGGAGGCCCCACATTCTGAGTTTGCAAGAGAAGCTGAAGACTTGGAATTTTACAAAAGTGTCTCCAGATGTCCACATGTGGAATTGAATTCAAAAAGCGTAAAAACCCAGGTGACCAAACGGAAGCTGCCAGGGGCCAGCAGTGGCTGGTCGCGTCTCAGGGCACTCCTGTTCTCGGTGGCCCCTGTGGGATGCCAAGGGTCTCCAGGCCGGACCGCCGGCGGCTGACAGGAGAGGTGGGGCAGCCGGCGTCAGGCCCGAGGCGGGAGCGTGGACACCCTCCACAGAAGGCTCCGGCATGTGCCCAGGCGGGCACTCGTGCTCACTGGCTGCCCCTTTGCACAGCCTCCTGGGTTCACGGCGACCCCTGTGCCCGCCTGGCACCGGCTCTGGGAGTTGTACGGTGTCATGTCTCCTCAAAAACAGCGGAGCAGAAGGAGAGAGAGGGAGATTGTTCTGTCCACCACCCGCCCCCGCTCCGACTGACCATGGCAGGCCCTGCGCTTGACAAAGCTCCCTGTTCAGTGCTTCGCGTCTTGCTCACGTGACTGGCCGCCCTCCGCCTGGCCTTCCTGCCAGCTGGTGGCACGGGTGTTTGCTGCCGCAGAAGGTTCCAACAGACGCCCGCAGGGTTGAGTCCCGGGTGCCCAGGCACAGGCAAGGAGAGGCCCGTCGGCCAGGCCCACCGTGCAGCGGCCACGCAGAAGCAGCAGAGCTCCAGGGAGCGGCAGGGCGCTAAGCCGGGGCACCTTGGAGGGGAGACGGCTGTCACGCCGGGCCTGCCGTGAAGGGACAAGTTGCCTGGGCACAGACCAAGTTGGGGGACGGCGGTCAGTGGCGGTGGCCGATTTAGAGGCCGCCTCTGCCTTGCCATGTCCACACCAACTCTCCACACGCCAGCAGGCAGGGGCCCAGGCGGCGAAACAGAACCGGAGCAAAGGGAGCAGGGGCCTGAGGAGACGCCCCTCATGCGGCTGCGCCCGAGCGGGCCAGGGGCCAAGGTCCCAGGAGGCAGGCCCGGATGGACTGGCTCCAGGTCTCTTCGGAACTGGATCTGCAGCTGGCCCACGCGTGAGCAGGTTCAGTCTTTCTAAATAAAGCCAGAGCCGAGAGCGCCCGTCTTCGGCGCTGCAGCTTGTCTTTGCAGCCTGCTCCCGCGAGCCTGCGGCCGTCCTGCAGGGGGAGCGAGCGCGAGGCGGAGCTGGCGTCCTGCAGGGGCAGCGCGAGGCGGAGCTGGCGTTCACCCGGCTGCTGGGGCACGGCGCGCCCCTGGGAAACGCCATCGACTGATTTGCTTTGAAAAAGTATTTTGTTTTTTCCTCTTCTCAGGTAATTTGTATATATAAAATGGTGAGTGTTTAAAGATAGAATAAAGGAACGTGGCTGGCCCCGTCAGGCGAAGACCGGCTCGACCTCGGCCAGGCTCTGACCCTGGGCTGCTTCGCCTGGGAGGCCAGACCCCCGCGGCTTTTCTCCTCTTGCTTTTATAAACATGTGAGCGGCGCCTCGGCCTCTTTTGTCCTGGAAAGTCTTTTGACAACTTTCTTCATGCAGAGAGAACATCTGTGTGTGTGTTAGAGAAATAAAAACACGCAGCTCTGAAGTAGGCAGGGGACGCGGGACCAAGGCGCTGACCGTGCGTGTTTGGAGCGGAGGCCTGTGGCCCTCACCCCGCCGGCCGCGCCTCTGAGGGGCTCCCCAGGCAGAGGGGCCACGCCCCGCGTTGACCTGCCCGCCCGCGCTCTGCTGCCCGCCCAGGCTCCTGCGGGCCAGGGCTTGCGGGTCGGAGGCCGTGGCGGGGGCTGGCAGCCGCCCTCGGGGGCACCCGCCCGGCGGAGGCCGGGCCTTGCGTGGGGAGGGCGGGCGCAGGCAGGGCTTGGGCTGCCCCGAGGGTGTGGAAGCTCCAGGCCTGTCCGGCTCCTGGTCGTGCCCTGAGGCTTTAGCCGCAGCTTGGGGTACGCTCCCTAGCGGGGGCGGGTTTGGGGTCAGAGCAGGATTGCTCCCCCAGTTTCCACTGTCCACCTCACGGGCCTGGGGGGCTGGTCTGTCCAAGGCACCGGGTCTCGGGTGAGGGGTGACGTCCTCACAGCCCGGGGCAGGGCAGCCGGGCGTCCCTCTCTGCTGTGGGTGGCGCCTGGGGACGGCCTGAGCGGCCGGCCAGAAGCGGGGCCTCTGTCAGGCTGCACGCGCCGCGCCCCTGCGCTCTGCATCCGAGCTCCCGCACACCTGGACATCGGCGTCTCTCCCGGCCGCGGAGCTCAGCCAGGCGGTTGTGACGTGCACCCAATGTCGGGGCCCTAGAAGGTGCAGGAGGCCCGTGTGGGGAGCGTGAACCACGGCGGAGGGGCATCCTCTCCTGGGGGGCGCTCAAGGCGTTTCCATCAGCGCCGCAATCTCGGACCAGGGCCAGGCCCGCGCGACCATGAGCAACTGCCCAGAACCGGGCGGGAGGAGGGGCTGGAACCCACACTCCCAGCACCCGCCCCGGGAGCCAGCTTCAGAGAAATCGTTTCAGGCCTCTCTGCGCACGGGATTCAGCGTTCCCTGCCCGAAGTGTCCTGTGCAGTGCGGGCAGGGGCGGGGAGAGCAGGCCGGCCAGAGGTGCCAGGGGGCGTGCATGTGCTCACATGTGTGCGTGTGCGCGCGCGTGTGCATGTGCACATCTTGGCTGCTCTGGGTGCGGCTGTGGGTGGCACGTCTGGCTTTGTCTGGAGGAGCCCTGTGGGAAGAGGCTGCACCGGTCCCGGAGCCTGACTCAGCAGCGGCCTGACTCGGGGCCCTGCCTGCACGGGCAGTGGGAGAGGCCACCGTCTTCGGCCTCATGGCCAGAGAACAGCCAGGCTGCATCCCCCAGCTGGCGAGCCACGGTCCGAGGTGTCTCGCGGGGAGCCGGGTGCCTCCGTCCCACTGCCCACTCTGCTCAGTGCGCCCGCACAGTGGCCTGGAGCTCTGCTCTGGCCCCTTAGTGTCCCCCAAGAGCCTTCTGCCATCGTCACGACTGTGTCTGTCAGTCCTGCTGCCTCTGAAGTCTGGGCGCCGGGTGATGCTGAGACCCCACGATGGGCCTGTAGGGTGGCGGTTCCCAGCATGGCCTGGTCCCCTTGTGCTGGCCTGAGGCCCACCCAGCCCACCCGCTGCCCAGCAGCCCGAGCACCCCGCACCAAGGCGGCTCCCGGCAGACGCTTCCGAACATCCTGGGTGGATTTGCGTGAGTGGGAGCGGGGAGCGTCCGAATGGGCTGTCGCGCCGTCTCAGACACACGAGGGAAGGAACCACGGCCCGCGGCTGAGTTTGCCTGAGACCCAGTGCTGAGGCCCCAGCGGGAGCAGCCCCAGAGCACTCGGGTGCAACCCCGCCTGCAAGGCAGACGCCCCACACTTTCAGGATGTTCACGGCACGCCGGGGAAGGCGTCTGCTTGGTGCGTCTACTCGCTGTCTGTGTGTCTGGGAGACGGGCAGCGCCTCGCTCCTGGGGCCTTGCGCAGGGACAGGGCTACTGTGCCGTGGCTTCCCTGAGCGTCCCTTCAGCGGGGCTGGCCCCGGGCTCGCCCCTGAGCTGGGCCCAGGGAGAGGGGTTTGTTCCACCGCTGCCCTGCGGTCGCCGGAGCGGGCGCTGCGCCGGGGAGCTTCAGGGTCAGCCCTGCACACCTGCGGGGTGGGGGGCACTGCCTGGGCTGGGGGCTGGGATCTGCCGCCGTGAACGTGGGGTGGTGGCTGAGGGGCCCCTGCTTTTCTAAGAGGGACGGGACCACGGCCCTTGGAGAAGCCGTCCCTCGAGTCCTGGAAGCGCTTCGGCTGTGCATTCTGCTGTGTGTCTGTTCAGACGCACCACCATGATCACGTGCCCGCCTCTGGCTCAGACGTGGTAGCCACCGGGACCCAGAGGGCCCCCCCCAGGGCTAGGAGGGTGTCCTGGCCGCCAGGATGCGCACAGCAGGACTCAGAGAGCCCGGGGCGCGGGCGGCGCCTGCTTGTCTGGGCGTTGCCCTTGGTTCCCGCTGGCAGCAGGACTGGTCATTGGTGCCCACGTAACCCTTCATCACACAGGGACGGGGCACCTGCAGGGCCGTGGCCGGGGGGCGGCGCCCCTGACTCAGGCCCACAGGGCGCCACCCCTCCGAGCCCCGCCCGGCCTCTGCGCGTCACGCGGAACTGCCTGTTTGTCTTTTTTAAAACCAAGGCGCACGCTGAGCTGCCATTTCAGGGACCAAAGCTGACAGCACTTGCGGCCCTGACGCCTGCCGGGTGCCGGCCTCCCGGTCCCGAGCGCGTTCTCGCCGCCGCGTGTCTCTCTCGCGCCATGGGTCCCCCTCACCGCCTGGCTGTGACTCAGACCCGGTCTCTGGACCCGGCCAGGCCTGGTTCGAACCTGCTGTGGACTCACTGCTGCAGCTGAGACGGGGGCCAAGCAGCGGCACCAGAGATGCTCGTGGCACCAGCCCCCCCTCCCGGCCCCCCCCCAGCCCGGGCGCGGCCTCGCCTGGTGCCGGCCAATGCTGTGTCCACTCCCTCGGCGGCTCCAGCCCCGCCCCTGCCCGAAGAGCAGCTGGGATGTGCCCCTGCCGAGGAGGGCCAGCAGCCGGGCGCGCTTGGTGGCATTTCTCGCGCACCGCGGCACACGGGCCCCAGCGGGCCATGGACACCACTTCTGGGGTCACAACGGCATTTTTAAAAAGTAAACTCAGAAGCGCAGGGTGGCTGGGCTGCGGTCCCCGAGGAAGGAGCCTCTGGCCGTCTGCGCCCCAAGGGCTGCCGGGCCACCTCCTCAGCCCCGTGTCACAATCCCCGGTTCCTGCTCCCCACGCGGGGCCACCCCCAGCTCCTGCGGGCAGCCGCCCCTGTCCTGCTGGGGGCCCTTGGCTGGGCGGGGCCTGAGCCTCCTTGCTCCCCCGGCTGGGAGGGGCCCCCAGGAGGCCAGCCCGAGCGGCTCCTCCAGGAGCGGCTTCTTGGCGAAGACCTTCCCCTCGGGCTGGTGGAGAGGCGGGGCCCCGTCCTCGCCTGGCGCGGGCTGGGGGCGAAGGGGGGTTGGGGGGCCTGGGGCCCTAGAAGTAGGGCCAGCGGGGGTGCGCAGCCGGCGCTGCCTCCCCCGCCCGGGGTCCTCGCAGAGCGCGCGGCCGGGGCCTCCTTGGCCTGGGTCGGCGGCCCCCCGGCGGGCTCGGGGCCGGGGGTTCGCTCAGCCCCACCCCACTGTGTTCCCGCGGCGCCGAGGGCGCGGCCCTGGGCGCGGGGCCCCTCCCCTCCCGGCGCCCCGAAGAGCGCAGCCCTGAGCACCCCCCGCCGGCGGGGCGCCCCGAGCGCTCCCGGGCGCGCTGGCTCGCGAGGTCCCCGGCTCCCCGCCAGGCCGCCCCGGGAGCCCCGCGTCTGCGGCCCGGGGGCCCCCGAGGCGGCGCGGGGCGGGGCGGGGCGGGGCGGGGCGGGGGCGCGGCCTGGGGATCCGCCCCGCCCCGCCGCTCCGCGTCCCGGCAGCGCCCGCCCCGCCCCGGCCCGGCCCGGCCCGCCCGCCCGCCTCCTTCCCGGGCGCGCCGCTCCCGCCGCCCGCCCCGCCCGCCCCCGGCCCGGCGGCCCACCCGGCCCGCCCGCCCGCCCGCCCGCCGCCCGCCTCCTTCCCGGGCGCGCCGGCTCCCGCCGCCCGCCCCGCCGCCCCGCCGTCCCCGCCATGGGCCCCGCGCGCTGCCTGGCGCTGGCCGCCCTGGCCGCCCTGGCCGCGCCGCCCGAGGCCCGGCTGGTGCGCGACGCGGAGCGCGGCTTCGGCGAGTGCGGCGGCTTCTTCTTCGCCGGGGCCCCGCCCGCCGGGCTGGAGGCCGCCGCGCCCGCCCGGCTGTGCCAGCGCTCCGGGGGCGCCGCGCGCTTCGCCACCCTGTACTGCGCCCGGCGGCGCGCGCCCGTGTTCTCCGCCTTCCGCGCCCCGCGCCCCGCGCCCGCCGCGCCCGCGCCGCGCTGGCTGGTGGAGCCGCAGGTGAGCGCGGGGCGGGGGGGGGGCCGGGGGGCCCGGGGGGCGGGGGGGCCGGGCGCACACTCCGCCGGCGCGCGGGGGCCCTGGAGGCGGCGCGGGGCGCGCGGGCCGTGGGGGGGCCGCCGGAGAAGCCCAGCCCGCGCCCCAGTCCCCCGGCGGGGGCGGGTCTCGCCGGGGAAGGCGCGGCCCGGCCGGGGCGCGGGAGGAGGGCGGGAGGCGCCCCAGCAGTTTCCGACTCTCTGGGGACGCGCTGGGTCTCCGCGCTCGGTGAGGAAGGGCGGACCTCGGCGCTGCGCGTCTCGGGGTGACGGCGTCTCGGGGTGCGGGTCACCCCGCTGCCGACGCGCGGGCCCGCTCCGACAGACCAGTTTTTCCAGCCCTCCCGCGCGCCTGGACCACCTGGAAACCGAGTCACCCCGGGTTCGGCCGGGTCTGGGGAGGGTGACCCAATACTTGGCGCGGGAGCCTCACCTACGCCGGGGAGCGCGCGCCCCACCTCCGCTCCCCACCCGCCTCCGGAGCCTTGGCCGCGCTGGGGGCGTCCCTGGCTGCTGGCCAGACCCGGGAGACCTGCCCGGCCGCCCAGGCGCAGCCCGGGATGCCCAGGGTGGACAGGCCTGGAGGTCCTCCCGGCCCTCGCTGCCGTCTGCTCCCCGCGGCCGCGGCTGACCCGCCCCCGGGCGCAGGTGAGGGGACCTGCCCTTCCCCAGCCCGGGAGCCTGGGCCCGGCGCGCGTGCTGAGCAGACAGCAGCGGGACCAGAGACACTAGTGATCGCCTGCTGGGGCATTAGGGTCCAGGGGAGCAGTGGGGCTCCCCCCGCCCCCCCAGGCACCCAGGATGCCCTGAAGGAACAAGCCGGGCGGGAGGGGCCTCCTGGGCGGCAGGAGCCCAGCTCCTCCACCGGGCACTGTCCACCCGGCAGGCTCTCGGCGAGTCGCAGGGTGGGTGTGAGGCTGGAAGGAGGGGCAGGTGCTCTGACACCCCAGTTCCGGCTGCCGTGGCGGGAGCCTGCGCGTGGGTTGCATCTGTCTGGCAGGTGACCGGCCGGCCGGGCCTTTGTGCGGAGATGGAGGGAGGCCGAGCTGGGGGCGGGCAGCAGGGCTCGCAAGCCGAGGGCGAGGGATTGGGAAATGCAGATCAGGGGTGACTCGAAGGGCAGTAGGATGCGAGCCACCCCGGCCGTGCCTCTGCCTCTGCGGGTGCTCAGAAGGCAGGGTGGGGGGCGCCAGGCGGGTGCACTGCAGTTGCTGCAGGCGGAGCAGGGGACAGACAGACCCGCGTGGGCGGGGGCCGGGCAGCTGACGCCTTGGGGAAAGGAAGCGGCTGCTGAGGGTGTGAGGGGCTCGTGTCCCTCCACCCCGTCCGCCCTCCTGCAGGATGGGGGGCTGCAGGGGTGAGAGCTCTGTGCTGCGTCCAGGTGCGGGCTGAGGCCCTGCATCTGCGGTGCCCGGGCTCCCTGCCGGTGCGGAGGCCCGAGGTGCTGAGTCACGCACCCACATCCCGCCCCTGAGGTCAGCGGGCAGGGGAGAAGCAGAGGCCGCGGCGTGGGCCTTCAGCAGGCCTGGCCCAGCCCACCTCCCCAGCCTGCGGGCTGTGCGGCTGGTTCCCCGCGCGAACGCTCCTAAGTGGACCGTGGGGAGCTGCCCGGCGCCAGCTGCCCCGGCACTCAGCACAGTGGACAAGCCCTGTGGACAAGCCCTGTGTCCAGCTCCCCCTCCGGCCGCCCCCACCCAGCTGCCTGAGCCCGGGTAGGAGCCGCTCTGCTCCACACATCAGGTCCTGGGTGGTGCTGACCCGCCCCAGGCCTTTCACCCTGCGTGCCCCTGGCCCGTCCTTAGAGACAGCGGCCTCATGTGCTCCAGGACCCCCGGGGCAGGCCTGCCCCTCGCGGAGCCTGTCATTGTTCTGCTTTTGGACGTTCCACGCGGTCTGCAGTGCCCTGCTCCGTGTCTGCTCTGTGTGAGCCGAGGGCCGGGGCCTGTGCGCCCCTGCTGTTCCCAGGCCAGTGTGCAGCCCGCACTCCGGGGTGCTGTGTTGAGCACCCCACGGCGATGCCAGGACCGTCAGCGCTGCCCCGCGGTGCCTGCCGGGAGCTGACCTAGGGGGCTGGCTAGGCCGGCCCCAGTGCCACGCAAAGCCGCTCGCGGGCTAGCCCTGGCCTTGGGGCGGCCCCAGGGGCCCCTCCCTTCTCTGGCCCACAGCTCCTCAGTGTCAGGCAGGCCCCGGGCTGCTCACACGGCGGGATTTGCTCGGGGTCTGGAGGGACGGAGCGGGCAGAGCAGACAGCGCCGGGTGTTCTCTGGAGCGCGGCACCTTTGAGTGGGAGAGGCTGCGGGCGGCTGAGCTGCCCTGCGGGGTGCAGAGGCTGGAGGGTGTCCGCGCCCAGCGCCCAGCGTGCAGGGTGTGGGTGGTGCGGGGCGCAGCCCTTGAACTCGCAAAGGACGAGGCTGGGGCTGGCGCGGAGCCTCCCGAGCCCGTCTGGAGACGCGTGCGGGAAGGGCCCGCCCTCGGCTCGCGGAGCCGTGCGGGGCTGCGGGGGCGCCGGAGTGGGATGGGCAGCCGCGCCAGGCCCCCCCACGCGTGGTGCGTGACTCCCTCCCAGCTCCGCAGGGCGATGCGGCGTCCGCCCCGGGGCTCCCGCATGCGGCCACGTCCATGTCCCCGGCCGCGGCAGCCCCAGCCTGTGTCCTGCTCCGTGTGGGCGCGCCAGTGGCCCCGGCGCTCGGGTGTGGGCCTAGAGCAGGGGCCGCGCCTGCCTGGCCGTCAGGGCGGCCCTAGTCCTCGGTCTTCAGTTCCCAGGCCCGGCCTCTCACCGCCGCGCTGGCCCTGGCACCCCTTCCTGTCCTGTGGGGCACAGGACGCGCAGGGCGCGGGGGCGCGAGGGCCAGGGCCAGCAGGGCCCTGGGGGCAGCTCGCTGGGCAGGGGCTGGGTGGCCGGGGAAGGGCGCCCGGGCAGGGGCGGGGGCGGTGCGGTCTCACCTGCCCTGTTACGGCACCGCCGCTGGCGCCTGTGAGCAGCCGCGCGCGCCCGAGGGCGGCGCAGGGAAACCTGAGCGGAGCTTGGGCCGGGAGCCGGGCGGGCTCTGGATGCGCCTGCTCCGGCCGGCGTGAGACACGAAGGTCGCGGTTGCCCCCGGAGCCTGGAGCCTCCTCGCGTCCCACCGCGCGCTGCCGCCCCAGGGAGCAGGTGCTGCGGGGCCCCCCCTCCGGGAGGACGCTGTCCCATCCACAGAGCCAGGACCCCACCCGTGTGACCCCCGTGCAGAGCCGCCCCAAGGCTCTGGCTGTGGGGACACCTGCGCCCTCTCCTGGAGCACGCAAGGCCCCCCAGGCCACTCACAGCTGCGGGGGGCTCGCCTCTTGGGGGGGAAGTGTGCGGCCGCCAGGCCCTGAGCCCCCGCTGGTCTCCCTCACGTTCCCCAGCCAGGACCCCCAGGAGAGGACATGCCGGCACTTACCACCCAGCACCCCACGGAGCCCACACAGGCCTGGGGGGGGCCTCCAGCCTGGCCCGCCTCGAAGGTGCAGCGGCGCCTTTTCCCTGTGCATCCCGGGTCAGAGGTCCTTCCCGTGGCCAGGGCTGCCCTCAGGTGCCAGGAGACCTGGCCACAGCCCGTGGGCTACCGCCTTCCCTGAGCGTCTGGGCAGGCCAAGCTGTTGCCCGAGGCCTCCTTGCTGCCCTCTTCATGTTGGGGCCCCAGGGTGCCCGTCCAGGCAGGGAGAGGCCGAGTGGGCGGGACACGCCCGGGACAGGGCAGGAGGGCGAGGGCCGTGCAGGCCTGGGTGCTCACAGCCCGGGCACACGCGGCATCCTGGCCCCAGGAGGCCAGGGCTCGTCCTCACCCCCCCAGCCCCTCGCGGTCTGCGCAGGCAGAGGGAGGCCTGGCTTCCGCCCTGCAGCTCATAGGCGCGCCCTGCGGCCCCGGCCCCGTGTCCCGGCCTCTGCCCCTCGGAGCCCGCCCGAGCCCAGCTGCCAGCCCCGGGGGGTCCGCCTCCAGCGTGTCGCCGCTGCCGTGAGTCCAGCCTCTCCCTCCGGACACACCCGAGCTTATCCGGCCCCAGCGGCTGCCCCGGCCGCCCCGCCCGGCCTTATCTGGGTCACACATCAGGCCCGTGCCGCGCCCCTCCCGCCACTGTGGCTTCTTCATTTACGAAGAGCCTGCGTTTCACCGTCGGGTTCCCCGGCGCCCGTCCAGGCCCCGGGACAGTCGGGAGAAGCCCTCGGCGGGCGAGACGCGCGGGGCTGTGGCGCCAGAATCCCGCCTGGGCCGCGGCTGCCGGTCACGCAGAAGGGTGACCCTTCTGGCTCGAGAGCTGCCCCAGGCGGGCACAGAGCCGGGCGCAGACGGCATGCGCGTGCCACGCGTGCCCGGCCCGGTGAGGCTGCGGGGCGGGGTGGGCCTGGACCCTCCTGGGCCGGCTCCAGGGAGGGTCTGCTGTGCCGTGTCCACGCTGCACGCCACACGGCCCCTCCGCTTCCTGGGCCAGCCGGCCTGGCCTGTCCAGCGCCCCACGCCCCCAGAAAAGTAAGACACCTCCGACCTCTTTCTCAACTGTCCCCTGGAGCTCAGCCCAGTCAGGCAGCCCCTGCCCACGCGTGTGATGCGGGTCCCCGCCTGCCCCGCCGGCGACGCCAGCCTGCTCCCCGCAGGCCGCCCCGGAGGCTGCCCGCCCTCTGCCCGGAGCCACCGGGCAGGCCCATGGGAGGGAGGGACTCATCAGGGGCACCCCGAGTTTGGGGCCTGAGCAGCCTGTAGAGCCGCCCGGCAGGGTTTCGTTCACCAGCCTCGGCCGAGACCCAGCCCAGGGGTCTCCACTGAGTCACACCTGATCTCTGCGCCCCCCACCCGCCCCCGCTAACTGGTCTGGGGGAGACGGGGCCTTTTTAAGCTTCCTGTGATCCTGACCTGTGGGCAGTCCACAGGCTCCCCCTCATCCGGACCCCGCTCGCAGGCGTGGGGTGCTGCGGGTGTCGGGCGGAGAGGCCGGCTTCAGGGGCAGCAGGTGGGGCTGCACCGGGACCCCCCACAAGGCGCGGCCCCTCGGGCAGTCTGGAAGGAGAGCGCGGCAGGCAGCCTCCGGGGCTCCCCACGCCCTGGGCCCCGGCCCGCAGCCCCCTGGGGGCGTCCGCTCGGCCATGCTCTCTCCCCGTTTCTTGTTCTCAGCAGGACAGGTCTGGAGTGAAGCATCTGCGCGCCCTGCTCACGCCGGCCACTGTCCTCGCGTCCCCACGGCTCACCCAGCAAGGCCGTGCCCACGGTGTTGGGGCGCCCCGGGAGCTGGGGACCGCTGCCCCCCTCCCCGCAGGAAGGCACGAGAGGCGGGCGCCAGAGGACGGGGCTCCCAGAGGAAGGCGGCGGGCGGGTCAGGAAGACAGAGCCTGGCTTCTTCCCTGCCCGAGCCGGGAGGGGACGCGCCTCCGCTTCCGAAGCGCCTTCTGCTCCCACGAGGGGCCGCGTGGGCGACGCAGCCGGGAGGGTCACCTCCGTCGGAGCCGCGGTCCGGCTGCCCTGCGTCCCGCCTGCCCGCCGCTTGCGGGGCTCTCAGGGAGGTGGTTCTCGGCCCGACACCCGGGGGCCGTGGGGGTGGCGCCGGCTCTGCCGAGGGTGACCCAAGTCTGTGGGGGGCACATTCCCCAGTTGGAGCAGGACCCCGAGGGCCCGGCCGTCCAGGGGCTGACGTGTCTCACGGGACGAGACAACCCCCAAGGAAGGACCCTGCCGAGGGGGCCTGGGCCTCGCCTCCGCCCTCCCCGTGGGTCCTCCCAGCCCCTTTGCCGGCCCCCCAGGGCGCGTGGGGGGGCCGGGCCCTCGCAGGCCGCCCAGTGGCTGCAGCTGGCGGGAGCAGGTCTCTCCCCCGGGGCCTGCAGGGCGGAGCAGCCTGGCTGAGGGACGCGGCTTTTCCTGGTACTAAATTTGAAAGGAATGTCCCGAGAGCATTTCCAGGCAGGATGCTGGGGGGCGGGGGGCGCATGCTGTGGAAAGCTACCGGGAGAAGGAAAAGTCTTCGCTGGACGCCGGGTCCCTGCAGCCGGCTGGGGTGCGCAGGGTCGGGCAGCAGGGGCAGCCCCACACCCAGGCTCGGGGTTCTCGGGGTTCCTAACGAAGGCCGTTGGGACACGCCCAGCCTGGGGTCAGGACCTGGGGTCACAGCTGGTCTGAGGGCGACGCCGCTGCCCTGAGCCGGCCCGGCCCGGCTTTATAGATGACAGGCAGAGCGGCTCACGGGGAACTCTGGGCGTTTTCGATGACTGGGGGTTGCGCGGGACAACGGAAATAAGCTTGAGAACGACAGAAATACCCGTGAGGACGCGCGGGGCGGCAGGAAGAGAGAGCGCGGCCTCGGAACAAACAGGCCGCAGCACCCGCCGCCTCTGCCTAGAAACGCCAGCCCGGGGGCTCGCGCGGAAAGGTGCCGGCAGACCGTCTGCTTACGCCGGGCCCCGCCAGCAGGTGGCCAGGAAAGGGTTTGCGCGAGGTACATAGATGTGGGGGTGAGGAGCCCGCCCGGAGTCACAGAGGGGGCCCGGAGAGCCTCCCGCCCGCTGGGAGTCCAGTCTGGGAAGGCGGAGTCTCCAGGCAGCAGAGGGGGGTCCCCCTCCCTCCACGGGGCTCCCCCCACCGCCCCGCAGACACCTGGCAAGGTGGCAGCAGAATCCGCGGGTGTCGGGCCTGTTCTGTGAGGGAGGGTCGCTCTCCGGGCTGCAGTACCCGAGCGGCGAACGCCAAGGCTTGCGGGGGGCCCCGGGCCTGCTGGTGCCCTGAGGAGCCGGACCAGACCTGGGCTCACACGCAGACCTGCTGGCACCCGTGCGGCCTGGCAGAAGACATGCCCGCCGGCTGCAGCCCAGCGCCCGTCACCGAAACCCCCAGGCCCGGAGACGGGCCCCAGGCCGCGCCCTCCCCGTCTGGTGGAGGACACCGCCCCACCCGCCGCCGCTGGGGAGCGTCCCTGCACATCTTTCTGCAGAGAGGGCAGCAGTGGCTCTGCCAGGGGCTGAGCCGGCGCCCGTCTAGCCGGCCGGGGCGACGCCGGGAATCCCAGCCGGCTGGGCAGGGGCACCCAGGGAGGGCGGAGCCCCGCGACACTCAACAAGTCCCTGCCCCCAGCCCGGGCCTCGCCAGCCCGCCCCCCGGGAGGCCTGGGCCAGACTGGGGGTACGCCCGGCGCGTTGCCCGGGACCCGGCAGGTGCACTCGCTCGCCCGAGGGAGTCAATTAGCGGGGCGCACTCACCGTAATTGGCTTCTGTTGTGTTTGTTTTCCTTTGAAGCCGCACCCAGCGCGAGTGATTTGGGGGCTGCTGTGGTCGGAGCGGTGCGGGGCGACACGGGGCGGCGGAGGGTCCGCGGCACCCGCTTCCCAGAGGGCGGGTCGCCTGAGTCTCCTCCCGCGTTTGCTTTTCTTGTCCGGTTCGCACTCGAGAGCGGTCGCCGTTTCGCGCTGTAGCTGCCTCTTCCTCTCGGCACCGCACCTTCCTGGGGACTCGGGTGCTTCTTTGGCGGCCGTGACAGCATTTCCTTACCCTTTCCCCGTTTTGAAGCTGCCCGCTGGCGCAGCTTTCTCCTGCCTCGCTGCGTCAGGACCCGTCAGGGCCTCGGGCAGCCGGGGAGCCAGGCCCCTGCGCTGGCCGGCTGGCCGGGGCCAGGTCCAGGAGTTTAGGGTCCTGTGAGGGGGTGAGAGCACAGGCCCCGCCAGCCCCGAGTGTGCCCCTCCTCTGGGCTGGGGTGCGTCTGCTTCCATGGCTGGGTGCAGAGGAGAAGCCGAGCCAGCGGCAGGGGGAGAGTTCTGGCTGCATGTGGGGTCTTGCCGGGTCTGTCTTGACCTGGACGGGAAGGGAACCCCAAGAACAGCAGATGTCTTGGGGTTTCGTCCAAACACAGTTAGTTTTGGCGTCTGGGCGTGGCCGGGCGGCGCTGAGTGACGTCTTGTCCGTTTGACCAGACGCCCTGGCCGGAGCGGGTGCTCCTGCGCCTGCGTCAGCGCTAAGGGTGCTCCCCAGGGGGGAGCCTCGGGGCTGACGGCCTGAGCGGCGCTTCTGATTTCTGGGGCTTGTGGAGGTCGAGCCGGCCTGTTTCACGTTTGTGGTCAGCTTGCGGCCCGTGGAGATGGAGCACCGCAGCTCAGATGTGACCGCCAGGATGGGCTGGTTGTGCGCGTGTGTGCGCGTGCGTGGGCGTGTGTGGGCGTGTGTGCGCGTGCGTGCCCCGGGAGTGGGTGTCCCGGGGTGACTGCCGAGCAGGGTCTCCCAGGCGGAACAGGAACCACCTCCTGGGAGCTGCTGTCAGGCCCAGACGAGCGTGCCCGGCGCCAGCCCTTGCACACGCGTGTGGGGCAAGCGGAGCCGGGAGCCCTGGCCCCAGGCAGCGCCTCTGCCGCAGGCCACGCCTCACACCGCTCTCCCCCTTCAGATCGATGACCCCAGCAGCGACCTGGACGAGGCGGCCGAGGAGGAGGTGGCGGCCGCCGCCGTGGACACCCTGGGCAGCCGGCAGGCCTTGGCCGCGGACTACCTGGACTCCGGCTACCAGCAAGGACAGCTGTACCCCTTCTCCCTGAGCGACGACCCCCACGAGGCCACGTTCGCGCTCACCAACGCAGTCCCCATGCGCCCGTCCTTCCGGGACCGCTGGCACAGGAACCTACGTGGCCTGCTGGCCCGGGCGCTGGAGCCGCAGTGCGGCGGCGGGGAGGACCTGTACCTGCTGGCGGGCGCCGTGCCCTCTGCCCACACGGTCAGGGACAGGGTGGCCATCCCCGAGTTCGTGTGGCTGGCAGCCTGCTGCGCCACCCCCGGGGGCGGCTGGGCCATGGGCTTTGTGCAGCACACGCGGGCCGGGGCGGTGATCGAGGACGTGATGCTGCAGGGCCTGCAGGCGCTGCTGCCCTCCCGCCCACAGCTGTTCCGGGACAACTGCGCCGAGCGCGAGCAGGACACGGAGAAGATGAGGAGGATCCTGGAGGTGGTGAACCAGGTGCAGGCCGAGGAGCGCGCGGCCCAGGCCCAGGCCAGCCCTGGCCCCCTGTCCAGCACGGGGGCCCCCACGCCTGCCCCGCAGCCCCCCGAGGCGTCCGAGGAGGGCAGCGGCTTCCTGGGGAGGCTCCTGGGCTTCCTGGCTGCCCCGGTCGTCGGGCTGCTGCGGCTACTGTACACCCTGGCGGCCGGGCTCCTGACGGGCACCCTGCGGCTGCTGTGGTGGCTCGGCCAGCAGGTCGTGCTGGGCCTGGAGAGCGGCCTCTGCCGCCTGGGCACGGCCGCCACCTCCTACCTCCTGGCCATCGGCGAGGAGCTGCTGAGCATCCCCTGGAAGCTGCTCAAGGTGCTGCTGAAGATCCTCAGGGCCTTGCTGCGTGTCCTGTGCTGCCTGCTGAAGGCCACGTGCCGCGTGCTGGGGCTGCCGGCCCGCGTGCTGCTGGACGTGGCCGCCTTCCCCCTGCGCACCGTGGCCGCCGTGCCCCTGGTGTGCCGGGACGTGGCCGCGGGCCTGGGCGGCGCCCTCTCCCTGCTCCTGGACACGGCCTCCGGCACCGCGGGGGGCCTGCTGCAGGTGCTTCTAGGCGTCTGCAGGCGGATCGGCTACCGGGCCGCGTGGGACAGCCCCGGGGAGTTCTAGGACTCCAGAGAACGGAGCGTGTCCAGCGACAGCGAAGTTAATTTTTTAAGTCTTTATTTTGAACGGAGCGAGCTGGGTCTTTGGTTCTTACGCTGTTTCTGTTCCCTGTGGGTTCTCATTTCCTTCTGGCTGTGGGGTGGGGCTGCGGCGTTGCCTGTCGGGCTTGCCTGGGGAGAGGCGCGGGCTGGGCTGCGTGGCCGGCGTGCGGGGCGGGAGGACGGCTTTCAGGAAAGGGATTATGAGAACAGGAGCAGCGGCTCTTCTCTCCCCTGTCCCTCCCCAGATTTACTGCAAAACCAGCATAAGGGTCTTGGCCGAGCGGTCTCACCCCACTGGCTCTGCTAGTCGCTGGCCTTGCTGGAGGCAGAGCTGCTCCTCCGTGGAAGCCGCTGGGGACACGGGCCTGCCGGCTCCCAGCTTCCAGCGGCCGAGGGGGTGGGGGTTGGGCTTTCGCCCTGCAAGTCGCATTTGGCTGAACGTCCCCTCAGGTGACCCAGGCACGTGCCGGCCCCTGGCCCGGTGCTCCCTTCCCCGGGACAGCCCGGCGGCCGGCGGGACTCACTTGACGTCTCTCCTCTGGCCGGCGAGGCTGAGCAGAGACCGAGCATGTTCCGCTCCTGGAGAGCTCACGCGCTGCGCCACCCTGGAGCCACCGTCCTGTGCCACAAGGACGTGTCCAGGACTGGTCGTGTCCTGGCCTCTGCCCTTAAGTGATTGTTTGACAGAAATGCATCAAGGGCCATATTTAAAATAAAGGCTATTCTGCCACCTTGGGGGGAGACAACCCGTTTCCATGCAGGTCCGAGTTCATGTACACGCACGCGAACGTGATTCAGAGTCATTCCCGCTGAGGAAGTTTTTACGGAACTTGCATTAACGCAAGGCTGACGGGGGAGCTAATCCTCGCTTTTGGGGTGCGCGCTGTCGTTTCAAATCTTGCTCTGAAAAGGGTGAGACTCCTCAGCTACGCTTGGCCTCCACCACGAGCGGGTCGTCGGGTGCCTCTGTGGGCTGCAAGCGCTGCCGGGGGCAGAGCAGGACCTGGCCGCGGCAGGGGTGCGGCCGTCACCACGAGGGCGGGGCCCAGGACGGCTCTGGAGGCCCCGGTCACCGCCCTGCGGGGGGATGCGCGGCGGGAGTGGCTGAAGTGCACGAGTGGCTGTGCGCCGGCTGCGGGGGACAGCGGGTGGGGGGAGGCGGCCCAGCCTCCCTGAGACGCCACGGAGTCCGGCGGCTCCGACTCCCGCCCCGGGCGTCTGCTCCAGCGCGGCCTTCGCGGGCGGCGGGGAGGGGGGGGTTGGGGGGGGCTTGGCCTTTGTTCTGAAAGGCGGAATCTGAGATCTGAGACGAGGCCAGGGCGACGGTCAGGCAGACCCGTCCTTGGCAGGAGCCCGGGTGTGGAGGCAGCGGGCCGGCCTCAGTGTCCGCTCCTCGGCCGGCTGGTGGCAGGTCAGGAGGCAGCGGCGTCGCACCTGCCTGTCCCACTCGGCCGCCGGCCACAGAGCCCGCCCCCCACTGGCCGCCCCAGGCCCCCAGCCGGGTCCCACCGGGGCGATGCGGCGACCAGGCCCGGGCTGTGGCGCGGTGTCCCTGCGCCCTCGCGGGGGTCTCTGCGGCGCGGTGTCCCTGCGCCCTCGCGGGGGTCTCTGCAGCGTGGCGGCTGAGCCCCTTGGCTGTGTGGGAGCCGTTTGCAAATGTCGCTGTTGCCCCTAGTTGTTTGGTGTCTTATTTATTCTTGAAACCGGGAAGGGATAATAAAGCAAAAAAATATTCCCCAGGCTCAGCGGCTCTGCCCCTGGCCCGCTGGCCTTGGCTGGCTGGACCTGAGGCTCCAGCTGGCGGCCAGTTCCCTGCAGGCTGCTTTGGCACCGGTCCTCGGGGTGGCTGAACCCCATCTCTGGCTTGAAGGTTTGTGGCTTTGCTGTGTTCTTAGCCCCCCGGGAGTCCAGCAGCTCCTCGTGACTCCAGAGCCTGCGATCAGTGCCTTGGACACGCCTCTCCCCGCCGGGCCTTCCCACCGTCTCCCCGCGGACCAGGGAGGAGGCCTGAGGGCCAGCGTCAGCGTCTGTCACCTTCCAGCTACCAAAGATCATGTGACGGGGGGTCAGCAGGGCTGGGGCCCACCTCTGAGGTCAAGGGTGGGGAGCATGAGCGGTCCGGGCTCGCAGCCCGAGCACACCCAGGGAGCCAGGGTGGGAAGGCCCCTCTGGGGGGCAGGGCCGCTCTGGCCTCAGCTCTGCACCACGCCGTGCCCCTGCGATGCTCAATAAAGCTCTTCTGGGGCCTCCCCGGTGGCGCAGCGGTTGAGCGCTGGGTTGCGAAGCTGCCTGCAGCCTCTGCAGCGCCGGTTCGATCCCCAGATGCTCCCCGGCCACCGGAGGAGGGTCCCGCATGGCGCACAGCCCTCTCCTGCCGCCCGCTGCTCCCCTCAGCAGTGTGCTTCGGTCCTTCTGCCTGCTCTGGTCCCCGCTCTGGCTCTGGTGAATTCTCTCACCCTCCCGCGCTTCTGACTGTACCCAGTGCTTGTATGTATGTATAAATCAATCAATCAATCAATAAATCTTAAAAAAAAAAATTAAAAAAATAAAGCTCTTCTGACCGCTCAGCAGTGCCCGGGACTGAGGCTGTTTGGGGTGCGGGGTGGCGAGGACGGTGCTGCCAGGTCCCGGGGCTGAGGTCCACGCGGCTGAGCGCAGGGCCCCTGTGGGCAAGTGCCGCCCCGGTCCAGGCCTCCCGAGTGCACTGAAGCCTCACAGCTGACCCTGCTCGGGTCTGTGATTTGGGAGCACTGCACCTGCCCAGGCCAGGTATTTTGGGGGAGCCCTCCCTTTTGTGCACTAGAACAGGGGTGAGGTCCCCACACAGGCCTTGCTGGTACACAAGCAGGCACCGGGCTGAGACCCACTGGGTCAGCACCCACGGAGGTCCCCCCCCCCGTTTCTGCCCATCATCAGATGTGACCTTCTGACTTTCCAGGCCTGCAGGGAGCATGTGAATGCCTGGTGGCATTGGCGGGGAGGGTCCCCCAGGCCACCCCATCAGCCTGTTGGCAGAAGCCCAGGCAGGGTCAAAACTGCTAGCAGATGCGCCCAGAGACCAGCCGGCTGGAATGGCGTCCCTTGGCCCACGACGCTCACGTGGCCAAGCTGGCAGCTCCGGCCTCCGGGCGCGCATGCGCAGCCTCCGGGAGGATGTGTCCAGCCTTTCCAGGGAGGGCCCCGGGGGGGCTCCCGACCTGTGGCCTGGGCTCTGCCACCCCCAGTGCAGCCCAGGGCCACAAGTGGGCGGCGGGCACCCTCAGGCACCTGTCGGGGCGGGGGCCTCTGCGTCAGGGCACCAGCCAGCCCCAGACCGGGGGGCCTTTCGGGAGTGAGGGTTTAAGGCGCATGTGTATCCCCCAAACGAGAAGCCGAGTCTGAGGTCCTGGCCCCCGTCATCCGCCCGGGGCCCTTCAGGCTGGTACATTCCTAATGTTGCCGAGTGAGGCTCAGCCCAAAGGATCCGCTTACAGCACTGGGCCGTGGCCCGCCCCAGGGAGGAGCGGCTCCTAAGCCAGGGACCGGGAGCTCCGCTCTCGGGCCGGAGGGAGGAGGCGCTGCCCTGTGGCTGCTTCAAGGGGAGGGCCCGCGGGTGGGGGGTCAAGGGCCACACCTGCCCCCCAGCCCCTCCCCGGGGACAGCAGATGAGGAGAGGAGGGGTCAGCGGAGGACAGAGGCGAGCACAGCTGGGGCGCGGGTCTGGCACATGCAGAGGCCCCGCTTGACCCCGTGGCAGCCGCTTCACCACTGGCTCTAGGCAGGGAGGTGAGGCGGGAAGGCGCCGTGCAGCCCGGGGCCAGGGATGGGGGGTGGGGGCGGGGAGGGGCAGGAAACGCGGCGACGGGGGTGCTGGCTTATGCCGCCAGAGCCCGGTGTGCCCGGGGTGAGGCCGCTCTGGGCCCGCCGGCCTCCTGCTGGGCTGCAGCTTCGCCAAGGACCAGGGAGCCGAGGAGCAGGCAGGGGCCAGGGCCGCACGCCTGAGAGACGGTGCGGGGTGGGGGTGGGGCGGGGCGTGCCGCAGAGCATGGGCCCCCCCACCCCACAAACCAGCATAAACCCACGCGGGTCAAAGACCCAGACGCCAGGCCTGCCTGCTGCCCCGCCCGCACGCCCCACCGCACAACGCCCCCCCTCGCACGCCCCGCCCGCACGCCCCGCCCGCAGGACCCCGGAGAGGACGCCCCAAGGGCCCAGGACTGCGTCTTGGACACGTTGTCCCAGAAGGGACAAGCGGCACTGCCGAGTGCCACACATGACCCATCCCGCACGACAGACACCCGTCGTGTCTAAACACCAGCGCCCGCTTCAGTCCCTCGAGTCTGATGCTTCGGTGGCACCCGCTCCCCTGCTCACGGCTCACCCAGCGGCCGGCGGGCGGCTGCGGGGGCTGAGGGACGTCTGTGGGAGACCAGGGGGCGGCCTGGCGGGCGGCGTGGGCAAAGCAGAGCCGTGACCCCAGACCGCGGGGCCAGCCGGCCCTCTCCGTCAGACGGGCCGCCAGCCTCAGTTTCCCCATCACGGCGGGGGTCTCCGTCAGCACCGCACCCCCAGGCGGCTCCGCCGGGCCTGTGGTCCTGGGCTCCGCCCTCACCGGTCCGCCCCGAACGCGCCCCACAACAGCCTCCCGGGTGGGGCGCGCAGACGGGAAGGCCCAGCGTGTCGTCGCAGGACTGCAGCCTCAGGAGGGCGGCGGCTGGCGGGGGGACACAGCGTCTGCCCACAGCCCCGCACCCGCCTCAGCCCAGCTCAGACAGGACCTGCCGCTGGCCACCCGCCCTTGCAGACCCTCACATCCAGGCCAGCGGCCGCTCCCCCTCGGGCTGCCCGAGCGGATGCCCCTGCGCCTGGGGCTCCGCTTGGCCCCTCCGGGTTTGCGGTTTACGCACATTCAGGCTGCCCAGCTGCCCTGGGCCGGGCCTGGGCGCTGTCCGGCCCCGCTGCCCTTCCCGGGCACATCAAAAAGGGCACCTCGGGTGGTGAGCACCGCGCAGGCCTTTCCGGCGGGGCCACCAGGGCGACCTTGGGGTCTGGTGCCCCCAGTGCTTGCAGGGGTGTGCCCGGAGGGGGGAGCCGGGGAGGCATGAGCTGCCCTCGACTGGGGCACGGTGACCTGGTTTCGCCTGTAGGCTCGGGCGCCCCTGTTCCGGGGCAGAGGGCCTCCGCCATGGGGGCAAGACCCCCGCCCCGCCGTCTCGCGCCAGTTCTGTCCTCTCCCAGACCCAAGCCTGGGCCCTGGGGGCGCCCCAAACAGCGACTTGGGCACCCTGCGCCCCCGCGCCCCCGCGCAGCTGCTGGGACCTGAGGACCAGGGGGTGGGGGCTCTGCCGTCTGCTCCCGCCGGGCAGCAGCACCTCTGGCAGACCTGACCCCGCCCTCGGGACCTCACCCCAGCGGACAGACGAGTTCCGCCCACAGGAGGGGCTCCCCCTTACCTGGGGGGGGCAGGCCCTGCCTTTGCCCACATTCTTCATTCTTGGTGGTGCACCTGCCCCTCGGGACCCAGCCAGCCCCCAGAAACCACGCCAGCTCATCGCAGCCTCCCTGGGGAGCCCCAGAGCAGCCGCCAGCCTCACTCTAGGGTCCCTGCCGTGGAAGCCGGCTGGGCCCTGGGTCCTCGCGGCCGTCCAGACCCAGGGGCAGGAGCCGGGGCTGCTGCCCAGCGCGGAGGTGGGGACGTGCGGGCCCTGGTCCCAGGGTCAGGCCCGCCCTGCGGACACTGCCCCTCTCCCCCCTGGCCCTTCACAGTGAGGCCGCCGCCCGCCCCAGCTCCCATCCGACCCGCCCCCTCTTGCCGGCCCCACCTTCCCGGTGGCCTGGTAGCACTTGGGGTCACAGTGTGACTGTCTGGGGGCCGGGACTCATCGCCCCTGCCTCTCACAGGCTCTGCGAGGACAGGGGCCTCCAAGAGGGCGGCCTCCAGCGCGGCCCCTCCCTCCTGCGGTGCCTCCGCTGGGCAGGAGGCCCTGGTCCTCCCCCCAACCCTCTGCAGCGCCCAGGGAGCTGTGCCCCCCCCATGCCCCCCATGCGGAGCCCGCGCCGAGTCCACCTGTGTCCACACAGCCTCGCGCCAACTCCGAGCCAAGGGTG